GGGGTGGGGGGGGGGGGGGGGGGGGGGAGCCAGTGCTCGGCACTCCTGGCCCTTTGGTGTAGTGGTTTGGTGGGGTGGTTACGTGCGCGGACTCTAGTCTGGTCTCCACTCCTCCACTCGCAGCTGCTGGATGACCTTGGGCAAGACATAGTTCTGACAAGAGCTGACCTTGAAAAAGCCCCACCTACCTCACAGGGTGTCTGTTGTGGGGAGCCACTCTGTTTGTAAGCCACTCTGAGACTCCCGAGTGAAGGGTGGGGTATAAATCCAATCTCCTCCTCCTCCTTCTTCTCTCTTCTCTCTCACCAAGTGTGCGGTTAAGTGCGCGGACTCTAATCTGGGAGAACCGGGTTTGATTCCCCACTCCTCCGCTTGCACCTGCTGGATGACCTTGGGTCAGTCACAAGTTCTCTCAGAGCTATTCTCTCAGAAGTTTCTGTCAGAGCTCTCTCAGCCCCGCCTACCTCACAGGGTGTCTGTTGTGGGGAGGGGAAGGGAAAGGAGTTTGTAAGCGGCTCTGAGACTCCTTCGGGTAGTGAAGGGCGGGGTATAAATCCAATCTCTTCTTCCTCTTCCTCCACTTGCACCTGCTGGATGACCTTGGGCAAGCCATAGTCCTGTCAGAGCTGTCCTTAAAAAAGAGCAGTTCCTGTCAAGAGCTCTCTCAGCCCCACCGACCTCCCAGGGTGTCTGTCGTGGGGAGGGGAAGGGAAAGGAGTTTGGAAGCCGCTCTGAGACTCCTTCGGGTAGTGAAGGGCGGGGTATAAATCCAGTCTCCTCCTCCTCCTCCTCCTTTCTGACATGCCCAGGGCGGTGCCGATCACCATTTTGGGGTCAGGAAGGAATTTTCCTCCAGGCCAGATTGGTTTAGGGATCCTGGAAGGTTTTTTAAAAATATTTCCTTTGGGCACAGAGCAGGGGTCTGCAGGTTTATATTGCATATAAATCCAGTTGGAGCGCCAAAGAGGTGTGGCCTTTGTCTCCATTCAGATGGAGGCCGGAACGTCGTTAATTTCTCACCAACCTTTCCCTAAAAAAAAAATACCAAAGGCAATTTGTAGTAATAAATGTAACCATACCTAGAGAAACTTCCGTCCTAATAAATACAATCAGGAGTAAAGCCCGTCCCTCACAGCTAAAATCAGTCAAATGAGCCCCTCAAGCAGTGTTCCCTCTGAGCTGAGTTAGTGTGAGCCGGCTCACAGTTTTTTAGCCTCCAGCTCATAAATTTTTGTCTTTGCTCAGGAAGGATGGCTCCAGAGCAGTAGCCAAATCGCTCGCTCGCAACTTTAATGCCAGTAGCTCACAATGTAGAATTATTGCTCACAAGACCTCACAGCTTAGAGGGAGCATTGCCCTCGACACACACGCAGATCGGAGAGTTGCGGGGGGGGGGTCCCCAAATGCTTGAGATTATCGTAAGTGCTTTTTTTGCAGTGCTCACAGCACTTCTTACCTTCTCTTTCTCTCTCCTTCCACCACCACCTTTCCCCCATCAGGCCTACAAAACCTTTGCCAATAGAGTGAACAACCTGAAGAAGAAACTGGATCAGTTGAAGGCCACCCTCCCCGACCCCGAGGAGTCTCCTGTCCCCTCGCCGAGCATGGACGCCCCCTCCCCAACGGGCTCGGAGTCTCCCTTCCCAGGGATGGGGGAAGAGGAGAACTCTCCGTCGCCGCAGGCAGAGAGGAAGAAGTCGCCTTCTCTGGAGCTTGCGACAGACAACCGGGACGTTGAGGACATGGAGTTGTCGGATGTGGAGGAGGATGCCCCCAAGATTATCGGTACGTTTTGCCAGGGAAGGGCACCGCTCAGCACCCATCAGATTTGTCTTTTCGGCTCGACCTCCCCAAGGCCCTCGTTGACCAGTTCAGGCATTCAGCTAAATGGTTACACTTTTCTTGGGGGGGGGGGTTGTCACGGCTTAGGTGGGGTGTCACCTGACGCTGCCACCACTCTGGTTCCAGACTTCTCCCAAGCCTTTAGACCTCCCTTGTAGCTGAAAGGAGCGTGAGGACCAGGCAGAGTGAACAGTGAGAACGATTTATTTTATAGGAGGTCAAACAAACAAGGTGCAGGAGTAATAACAGTAAGTGGGTGAAAAGAAAAGTAATCAGATGCCCTAATGCATCTAAATATACTGTCCCTAGCTCACTATCTCAAGTGGCCTTAGTCTACTCACCCTTCCCTCAGGATGAGGGTTTCTTCCCCACAGCAGTCTCTTTCTTCTGGCCCTGTTCCCTGGGAAGAAGAACGGCTTCTCCTCTGGCACCAGTTCTTTTATTATAAGTCCCCTTTCTCTGTGATTGGCTAATTTTGGCTCCAAAACCTCTCAGGGCCTTCTGGGAGTTGTAGGCCTAGCCTCCTCCCACTGCTACACAGGCTCCCTGGGCCTGCTAGGCTTGCTTGCACAGCCCAGATCATGACGGGGTTTCAGGAAGCAAAATTTCCCCTGCCTTAGAGCCTAGGCTGCCACCTGTATAAACTGGCTAGCGGTCAAGGGTGGTTTGGATTCTGCAGTAGGATTGAAGTGGTCATTGTCTGGCTTGTTTCCTAACTGTTAAAAACCTAAGTAAGCGTACCAAAGAGTATTAATTACAAAGACATATAAGAAACCTAGTAGGGGCCCAAATAAAGCCTCATAAAATGTTCTAAGTTACAAATACACACAAAAAAGACAATATATGACCTGACGCGTTTCGGCTCACAAGAGCCTTCTTCAGAGGTCAAATAGTGCAAAATGCAACAAGTGACAGAGTCCCTGTAACACATTTAAGGCAATTAGCAAAGATAAAATAGGACCAGAATTGGAATGTTCCAATATGGAATTGAATGACACACCAAAAAGTTTCTGTTTGGGGCCACAAATATATCTGGCCTTGTGTCAGAAGTAGTTGTATATACTGGAACTAATATGTACCTTCCCGTATAGGTCCTAAGAGTGCAAGTAAAATTGCCTTAGTGCCATCAACATGTAACATATTGTGTATTTGTTACTGAGAACATTTTATGAGGCTTTATTTGGGCCCCTACTAGGTTTCTTATATGTCTTTGTAATAAGCACTCTTTTTTACACTCACTTATGTTTTCAACTTTTGGCCCTCAATTAGTTTTCTAAACTTCCTTTGGAGGTTTGTGCTTTGTTGGTTTAGATTTTCTCCCCTCTTTATTTTTTTGGTTGTTTCCTAACTGGCCAGTGAGTTGCATGATAAAAAAACAACCCATGCACTCATACGTTAACGCCATCTTCGCGCATGCTGGCATGAGACTGTTCAAACTTTTCATCTGAGGACGTCGTTGTGTCCTGGGAGGACTTCATCCACCACCACCCTTTTTTCTTCGCCTGGCTGGTTCTGTTCACCATGGAGAGAGTGACGGTTTCCTCTTGAGAATGGCGCAGACTTCTTCCCATGGATGAAGGCGTCAAAAGAAAATCCTGGGGTAGCCAGCCGCTTGGGAACCTAATAGCAGTAGTTGCTGAATTCATTGGTGGGAAAGCAATTAATACCTGAAGTGACCTGGAATAAACTGGAAGGGGTGAAGAGCGGAGAGACGCACATCCTCCTCCAAAAGTATGAACAGCTGAGTGTCACGGGCTGGGGTGCCAGTCAGAGGGAGTCCAGAACAGGCCAAGGTCAGGAGCCAAGAAGACAGTGCAGAGTCCAAAGAGCCAAGCCAGGATCTAACAGGAGCCAGGAACACAGAGCCAAGTCCAAAGCCAGGGGGTCCGAAGGTCTACTACGTGTAAGAGCCAAGCCAGAGTGGATGCTAGCAGCACGAAGCTGACTTGTTGCTTCCACGAAGGGTGTGGAATTAAATGCTGCTACCAATTAGCCAGCTGCACGATGGGCCAGGCTCCTGTTAGAACTCTGGGCTAGCCGAGCATCTCCCCTGTAGCCTGGCCTCTCAGTCGCTCCCTGAAACGAGTCACACGTGGGGGTGAGTCAGGAGGACTTTCCCCTTGCAGTTCTTCCTTCTTTTCTGGGCCAGGTGTGAAGACTCCTCTGCTGCTTCAGAGGGGCCAGCTGTGGTTTCTGCAGGCTCTGTCAGCTCATTCTCCTCCATGCCCATGACACTGAGACTCTCAGTACTTCCTTCCTGAATTAAGGCCGCTTGCAGACACGGTACTTGACCCGGTCCGTTGCTTTCACCCGGGTTAACCTCCCCGTTCAAAAGTCCGGTTGCTGCTCACCTCCTTGAGCGTCGCCTTGGTGGTGGTGGTGCTGGGAGGTGCCGTCAAGCCGCAGCTGACTTTGGGCACCCCTTGTGTTTTTTCCAAGGCAAGAGACATTCAGGGGTGGTTTGTCATTGCCTGCCTCTGTGTGACCCTGGACTTCCTTGGGGGAGTCTCATCCAAGGACTAACCATGGCTGACTAGAAATGTGAAGGCCCTGAAAAATTTTTTGGGGGGAAACGGTTTTTTCCCGTTTTTTTCCTGAAGCCCTTTTGTTTTTTTTCCGAAAAATTGGAAAAATTGAAAAAAGAAAAGAAAAAGAATTGATTATGGAACGTTTTATTTTATTTCTTCTTCTTCTTCTTCTTTATTTTCACATGATGAATAAAATATTTTAAGACAAGGTGTTCAGATATTTTCCAAATCATTTCTAAAATATATTATATGGTATCAGATTGATCTAATTTCTGTGCACTGAGGACAAGCAAGTCCTAGGTTACAAACTGAACTCTCCAATGCAAGAACAAGATGCATTTCTTTCTTTAGGAGGTGCGATTGTCAGAAGAAAATAAAAAAGTTTCAGTGGCTGCGGTCACACGGAGCATTAGGCACGCTAGAGAGACAGAAGAGAGGCGGATTTTCCGGGCGCGATCACACCGCCACATCTGGGAAGCGTAGAGCTCCCGTGGCTCACCCGAGGCTTCACTCCGAAGATGCGCTGTAAAAAACTAGTCCCTCCGAGGTACTAGTTTCCGGAAACCGCGGGGCATGGGCGGGCGTCTGATCGCGTTTCCGGTGGTAGTTCCGGCGCCCGCCCATGTCCCCTCACAAAAAGTGTTTTTTTCCAAGTCTCCACGGATACGCAGAAGCACCCAACGGAGCATGCGCACAAGCACCCAACGGAGCATGTGCACACTTTAGTTTAAAACAAAAAACACAACCCCGTTTGCCCCGCGGCCCCGGTTCTTTGCAGCGCCGCAGGATTGTCCTGTGATCGGCACCTCCCCCCTAACCACGGGACCTCCACGGGACGTCTGCTCGCGCAACCGCACGTTATTTTGCCCCGGGGGAAACAGCCACGCTTCCCCCCCACCGCGCATTTTCATGTGGGTGGGTATTCTGTTTGTAATAACTGTTTGGATACACTATATTTTTAATATGCTAGTTGTGATAATTTCATGCCAAGTAAAAATGGTCCATAGTCATATTTTATGTTCCTAAAATAACAGAATTACTTTCAATCTGGACAAGACAAAAGAAATGCTAATGTAGCATTTTTTCCAATTTTTCCGAAAATTTACGTTTTTTTCCAGAAAAAAAACCGGGGGGGGGAAATGGGTTTTTTCCCTCGCTTCAAAATTTCCGGAAATTTTACATCTCTGTGGCTGACTCTGCTTAGCTTTCAAGATCAGATGAGACTGGGCTAGGCTGGGATACCCAGGTCAGGGCAAGGAGGCGTTCAGAGGTGGCTTTTGCCATTTGCCTGCCTCTGCATAGCAACCCGGGATTTCCTTGGCGGTCTCCCATCCAAGTCCCAGCCAGGGCTCACCCTGCTTAGCTTCTGAGGTCTGACAGGAGTGGGCTACGGTAAGCAGAAAGAAATCCTAGAGAAGTGGGGGGTGGGGGGGAGTCTGCCTGGAGTGTTTTGCCCAGCAGTGAACAACTGACCTCCAGTTGCAAGCTTGCTTCTTCCTGTTTTCCAGCTTATCCATATAACCCTGAGTAAGGCGAATAATCAGCGGCCATCCTCTGTAGTTTCAGACATCTACGCCAAGCCCGGCAGCTGGCCCCTTTCCTGTCACGCTCTGACCTAGCCACAGTAATCCACGCGACGGTCCCCTCCAGGCTAGACTACTGTAGCTCGCTCTACGCTGGCCTGCCCTTGAGACTGACCCGGAAGCGCCAACTGATCCAGAACGCGGCAGCGCGTATCCTAACGGGAACACCACGGACCCCGCATATTCGGCCTGTGCTGCGCCAGCCGCACTGGCTTACAGTGGAGCACCGAGTTGAATTCAAGGTTTCGGTTCTGACCTTCTGGGACTGACGTATCTGCAGGACCGCCTCCTCCGTCACACCCCCGGGAGAGCATGACACCCCTCACAGAACAACTGACTGGTGGTCCCTGGCCCCAACCTCGTGGAACTCTCTGCCAAAAAACATCAGGGCCCCACGGGATCTCACGCCATTCCGCAGGGACCGTAAGGCAGAGATGTTCCACCAGGCGTTCGGTTGAGGACAGCGACGGTTCGACATCATGGCTGGCCACACTACTTGGCCCCTACTCCTTCGTCCCCCCCCCCCCCCCCGAACGTGTGAAGCACCCACAGCCCAGATAGGGGAGGGAGCTGCAAAATTTCCGCCTCTTGTTTTTAATTATTGTGTGTTTGCTGAGGCTTGGTTTTTATCCTGTGTTTTACGTTTTTAGAACTTTGTGTGTCGCCTAGAGCCCCACAACTGTGGGGACAGGCGACCAATAAATGGAATGAAATAAATAAATGAATAAACCCAATTGCCGCTTCCTTGTACTGATGTGCTGAGGCCAGGACTGCCTAAATCAGGGGCGGCCAAACTGTGGCTCGGAAGCCACATGTGGCTCTTTCCCACTTATCGTGCGGCTCCCGGCAGGGCGGCCGGGGAAGCGAAAGATCATTAGCAAGCAAGTATCATTGGACAAATAAATATCATTACCAATATCTGCCTTTACCGCTTTTGTCGTTATTTTTGGCAGTCTCATTTATTGTCAACAAAAAAGCAAAATTGTGTATTTCCCCGTAAAAAAGTGTAATAATTTGTTCATGTCCTGCGGCTCCCAAACATCTCACGTTTATTCTGTGTTGCTCTTACGTTAGGCAAGTTTGGCCACCCCCGGCCTGGAGCCACGCTGAGCCCCCAGGAAGAGTTTCCTTACGTTCCGTCCCCCTTCGTACTATGCAGGCAAAACCCAGATGCACGGGGGGGCGGGGGGGGGGGGGGGTGTTCAAGTCACTCGTCTGCAAGGGTGCCCACAGCCCTGAACCTCTGCCCATGGATCCTAGAGCCAGTGTGGTGTAGCAGTTAGAGTTTCAGACTAGGGTCTCCATTCTGCCACGGCAGCTCGCTGGGTGACCTTGGGCCAGTCACACGCTCTCAGCCAAAGCTCCCTCACAGGGTGTTCGGGAGGGTGAAAGTAGAGGAGAGAAGAATGATGTCAGCTGCTTTGGCTTCTCACTGGGTAAAACACGGGGTATAGTGTTCTGGTAGTTTGGTGTAGTGGTTAGGAGCGTGGACTCGAATCATAGAATGTTAAGAGTCGGAAGGGACCTTGCAGGTCATCTAGTCCAACCCCCTGCACTCTGCAGGGTTTGATTCCCCACTCTGGGAGAACCGGGTTTGATTCCCCACTCCCCCCCCCACATGCAGCTGCTGGGGTGACCTTGGGTCAGTCACAAGTTCTCTCAGAGCTGTTCTCTCCAGGGCAGTCCTCGAGAGAGCTCTCTCAGCCCCACCGACCTCACAGGCAGTGTTACTTCTAAGCTGAGTTAGTGTGAGCTAGCTCACAGTTTTTTAGCCTCTGGCTCACACATTTTTGTCTTAGCTCAGGGAGGATGGCTCCAGAGTAAACTAATTTGTGCCAAATTACTTGCTCACGACTTTAATGCCAGGAGCTCACAAAGTCGAATTTTTGCTCAGAAGACTCCACAGCTTAGAGGGAGCATTGCTCACAGGGTGTCTGTTGTGGGGAGGGGAAGGGCAAGGGGGTTGTAAGCCGCTCTGAGACTCCTTCGGGTAGTGAAGGGCGGGGTATGAATCCCATCTCTTCTTCTGTAAATAAAGTAAAATGAATTAAACAACAGCCCCGTATGAGACAATTGGAAGGTGCCACATCGTATCAACTGAACAGTGTCTCTTCTCTCCCCTGAACCTAGTGGAAGAGAGAAAGGAGAAGCCGGACGCTTCCGTGCCACCTGCCGCCAAGGTGACTGACAGCGCCATGAAATCACCTCCAGCCGTTGCGACACCGGCGGCGGGAGGGGGGGTGACGGCGGCGGCGGTGGCCACTGCCGCAAGCGCAACAGCTCTTGCTCCGGCCCCCGTCACCCCTCCAACACCAAAGCCGGCCAACCCCGCACCACTCCCTCCATCGCCAGCACTCGCGCTGCCCAACCTTGCCAACGTGGACCTGGCGAAGATCAGCTCCATCCTAAGCAGCTTGACCTCCGTGATGAAGAACACAGGTGAGCGGGTGGGGGCTTCCTCCAGAGCCGCTTGGCGCACGCTTCTCTCGGTTGAGCTGCAGGGTCCTCCGCGGAGTGGCACCGTTCACCCATGTAAGAGAGTCGCTCTAGGGTTGGGTCCTCTGCTGCCACTGGCAGTTCTTTCCCTCTCTCTGGGGAGCGTTCCCTGGGTGTAAAAGGAGCCTCTTGCGTCATGGTGGGTTGCCACTGTTAGCCTGGGGAATAGCATGCAAATCTGCATATTATCCTCACATGGTTTATTTTGCTGTTTTTTTACTACAAACAGAAGAGAAGGAAATGTTGGATCAGGCCAATGGCCCATCCAGGCCAACACTCTGGGTCACACAGTGGCCAAAAATACCAGGGGGCATCAGGAGGTCCAGCAGTGGGGCCAGGACACTAGAAGCCCTCCCGCTCTTGCCCCCCCCCCCCAGGCACCAAGAAGACAGAGCATCACCTGCCCCCAGACTGAGAGTTCCTATCCATACCTTCTGGCTAAGAGCCACTGATGGACCCCTCTGCTCTTAACATAAGAACATAAGAGAGAAGCCAATGTTGGATCAGGCCAATGGCCCATCCAGGCCAACAACTCTGTGTCACACAGTGGCCAGAAATACCAGGGGCCATCAGGAGGTCCAGCAGTGGGGCCAGGGCACTAGAAGCCCTCCCACCGTCTCGTCCCCCCCCCCCAGCACCAAGAAGACAGAGCATCACTTCCCCCAGACCAAGAGTTCCTGTCTATACCTTGTGGCTCATAGCCACCAATGGACTTCTGCTCCATATGTTTATCCAGTTCCCTCCATGCTTGTAGCTGCCGCCACCTCCTGTGGCAGGGAATTCCATGTGTTCATCACTCTTTGGGTGAAGAAGGACTTCCTTTTATCCGTTCTAACCCGACCGCTCAGCAATTTCATGGGGTTCCCACGAGTTCTTGTCTTGTGAGAAAGGGAGAAAAGTACCTCTCTCCCTACCTGCTCTATCCCGTGCATTTCCCAATGCTATAATATCCTTTTTGAGGTGTGGTGACCAGAACTGTACACAGTACTCCAAATGAGGTCGCACCATTGATTTACACAGGGGCATGATGATACATTATTTAGGCCTTGCTCAACAAAGGAGGGGCAAGGGAATCATAGCCCCACCATCAGAAGGCGTGGCCCATATGCTTCCAAACTAAACATGGGCAGTCGTAAGGACTAGCACACTTGAACGCACATCTGAAGCTGCCTTCTACCGAATCAGACCGCCAGTCCTTCAATGTCAGTATTGTCTATTCAGACTGGCAGCGGCTCTCCAGGGTCTCAGGCGGAGGTCTTTCCCATCACCTCCTGCCTGGTCCTTTTTAACTGGAGGTGCCAGGGAATGAACCTGGGACCTTCCGCATGCCAGGCAGAGGCTCTTCTGCTGGGTCACAGCCCCTCTTTACAGCTATCCAGGGTCTCAAGCGGAGGTCTTTCCCATCACCTCCTGCCTGGTCCTTTTTAACTGGAGGTGCCAGGGAATGAACCTGGGACCTTCCGCATGCCAGGCAGATGCTCTGCCACTGAGCCACGGCCCCTCTTTACAGCCCTCCGGGGTCTCAGGCGGAGGTCTTTCCCATCACCTGCTGCCTGGTCCTTTTAACTGGAGATGCTGGGGATTGAACCTGGGACCTTCCGCATGCCAAGCAGAGGCTGTACCACTGAGCCACAGCAAATACTAAACACTTCTGCATGTTCTTAAAAATATACTTAAAGTGCTCTTTAAAGCTCTGAGCATCTAGGTAAGCCACGTTGTCATATTAGTTTGGAAATAAAGCACCTTGGGGTGGTCGTGGAAGAACGTGGCCTCCATCTCTCGAGCCCAGGGAGGAATTTTGTTAGTGCCTTTTCTCTGGGCCCCTGTGTCAGGAACACCTTTGTCCATGTGCCAGGCACATAGTGAATTGGAAAGCCTCGGGGGGGGGGGGGTTTCTTTTAAGAAAATCAAATGTCTTGTCCTCAAGACATTGCGGAAAACAGTTTGAAAAATGTTTAGCTGGTGTCTCTCAGAAGCCCGGTTGAGGAGGAATTCTTAACTTCCTCCTGGGCCCGATGCTCAGTCTCTTTGTGTCTCCTGAAAACATGTTGTATTGTAACTGGCTATAAATTCTGCTGCGGTGGCTCAAGTGGTTAAGACACTGAACTGCAGGCTGTGGAAGGTCGGTAGTTCAGCAGTTCGAGACCCGAGTGTGCCACATGACGGAGTGAGCTCCCGTCTCTAGTTCCAGCTCCTGCCAACCTAGCAGTTCGAAAGCAAGACATTGCAAGTAGATAAATAGGGACCACTTTGGTGGGAAGGTAACAGCGTTCCGTGCTCCTTGGTGTTTAGTCATGCCGGCCACATGACAACAGAAATGTCTTCGGACAGCGCTGGCTCTTCGGCTTTGAAACGGAGATGAGCACCACAACCCTAGAGTCGGATTCGACTAGCTTTTGAGGAAGGGAACCTTTACCTTTACTATAAATTCTGTGGACAGTTGAGCTCCTCCCCCCCTCCACCTCCCTGTACGAATTTTTGAGCTATGAAATGCTTTCTTCCCCTAGGGGTCAGTCCTGCCTCAAGGCCTTCTCCAGGTACCCCGACGAGTCCAACAACGCTGACGGGAGGCCTGAAAGCGCCAATTGCGGGCACCCCGTCGGCACCCCCAAACCCGCTGGCCAATATCCTCTCCAAGGTGGAAATAACCCCTGAGAGCATTCTCTCCGTGCTCTCCAAAACCCAGACTCAGGCGACACCAACCCTGCAAGGTAAATGCATCACGTGGGTGGGGGTCTGCTTTAGTCTGACGTAAGGATTGGCCAGGAGTTCTCCTGGTAGGATCTGCCTGCTTTCATTTAACCCCCCCCCCCCAAAAAAAAGCCACCCCTGGAGAGGAGTCTGAAGATGAAAGCGGACCAGGACTTTGGAGTTCACGTGTCTGCTCTTTCGTGTGGCTTTGTTTGGTGTAGTTTGGAGCCAGTTTGGTGTCGTGGTGAAGTGCGCGGACTCTAATCTGGGAGAACCGGGTTTGATTCCCCCACTCCTCCACTCGCACCTGCTGGATGACCTTGGGCAAGCCATAGTTCTGACAAGAGCTGTCCTTGAAAAAGAGCCATTTCTGTCAGAGCTCTCTCAGCCCCACCTACCTCACAGGGTGTCTGTTGTGGGGAGGGGGAAGGGAAAGGAGTTTGTGAGCCGCTCTGAGACACCTTTGGGTAGTGAAGGGCGAGGTATAAATCCAATCTCCTACTACTACTACTCACAGCTGCTGGATGACCTTGGGCAAGCCATAGTTCTGTCAGAGGTGTTCTTGAAGAAGAGCCATTTCTATCAGAGCTCTCTCAGCCCCACCTACCTCACAGGGTGTCTGTTGTGGGGAGGGGAAGGGAAAGGAGTTTGTAAGCCGCTCTGAGACTCCTTCGGGTAGTGAAGGGTGGGGTATAAACCCAATCTCCTACTCCAACTACTACTTCTTGCAGCTGCTGGATGACCTTGGGCAAGCCATAGTTCTGTCAGAGGTGTTCTTGAAAAAGAGCAGTTTCTGTCAGAGCTCTCTCAGCCCCACATACCTCACAGGGTGTCTGTTGTGGGGAGGGGAAGGGAAAGGAGTTTGTAAGCCGCTCTGATACTCCCTTGGGTAGAGTGAAGGGCAGGGTATAAATCCAATCTCCTTCACCACCTAGGAGCCAGTCTGGTGTCGTGGTGAAGTGCGCGGACCCTAATCTGGGAGAACCAGGTTTGATTCTCCACTCCTCCACTTGCACCTGGCTGGATGGCCTTGGGCAAGCCCTAGTTCTGGCACAGCTGTTCTTGAAAAAAGAGCAGTTTCTGTCAGAGCTCTCTCAGCCCCACCTACCTCACAGGGTGTCTGTTGCAGGGAGGGGAAGGGAAAGGAGTTTGGAAGCCGCCACCGCCACCTCCTTTATCTAATTCCCTCTTGAAGCCGTCCGTGTTTGTGGCCGCCGCCACCTCCTGTGGCAGTGTTGTATAGACAGAAGTCACAGTATTCTGTCTTATGGTATTGTGCCTCTCTTGTACATCGCCAGCCTGGCATAAGCTGGGATAGGGCAAATAATAATAATAATAATAATATGCTTCTCAGTCGAATATGAGCAAAGAAAATGCATGAAATAAGTGCCTGACGTGAGATTTCCTAAAGCTCGTTCATGCTTGTCTGTCTTGTATTCTGGAGCTGTAACAGAGTTGGTGGAAGGAGAGGAGGTGAACGTTTTAAGTCAATTCCATGTTTCTTTTTCCTCCCCCCAGGCTTGTCCTCCTTCCTCCAGAGCGTCGCCAGCAACACGGCCCAGCCGAGTGAGGTAGCCTCTCAGAGCACTGCCGCGTCTCCCGCCACCACGACGGCCCCTTGCGTGAAAGGGAGGAATGTTTCTTCCAACGCTCAGCCTTTTGTGCCGCAGGGTTTTGCATATTCTCCCAACTCTTCCTCTTCCGAGGTCTCTTCCACATCCGTCAACAAGGCTCCCCTCGGGCATAGCCCGGGGCTTCCCAGTTCCAGTTTTAAACCCCCTGCCAACACCTTGGGTTTTGCCGGCGGCTCCCAGACAGGCAGTCCTTCCGTTCGGCCAGCAGAGAACCCGCTGAGCCAGTCTTCCGAAATTTCGGAGACGAAAGTGGAGTCCGAACCCACTTCTCCTAGCCTGGAAATGAAGATTCACAATTTCCTCAAGGGCAACCCCGGCTTCAGCGGCTTGAATCTGAACATCCCGATTCTAAGTAGCTTGGGATCCACCGCGCCACCCGAGAGCCATTCCTCATCCTCGGATTTCAGCCGCGGGCCCACGAGCACTTCGATGGACAGCATAGACGGTACTCCAGTTCGCGACGAGCGGAGTGGAACGCCCACTCAAGACGAGATGATGGACAAGCCCTCGTCTAGCAATGTCGACACCCTGTCCCTGCTCTCAAAGATAATCAGTCCAGGCTCTTCGACCCCTAGCAGCACAAGGTCACCTCTTCAGAGTCGAGAAGACAGCTATCCCCAAGAGCTTTCTAATTCTGTGTACAGGTCTTTTGGGATGAGTAGGGATTCTCCATCTGGCATGTACAAACAGTCCTCTGATAGTATGGAATTACCTTCCTCCTTAATGGACTCTCCTCAGGAGAAGTTCTACCCTGACACTTCCTTCCAGGAGGACGAGGATTACCGTGACTTCGATTATTCCGGCCCTCCGCCCTCCGCCTTGGACAACCTGGAGAAGCAACCAGGAAAATCAATCCTGAAATCGGGTAAACTTGCCGATTCCGCGGAGTACCAGCCAGTTCTGCCTGGGTATGGTCAAAGAACCTCTGGATTCGGCATCAAACCCTGTTTCCCTCAGTCTGTCAGTTCTCTTCATGACCAGAGCGAAAGCCGCGATCCGTTGTCCTCTCCTGGAATGTACGGGAGTTATAATTTACGCGGGAACGACTCCGGTTCAGATGCATCCCCTACACCAAGTAAGAACGATGCCTTTTTCAGCCCGGATTCCAATCACAACAGCTTGTCCAACCCGATGCCGCACTCCGGCCTGTCGCAGAAACAGTATCCGGATTCTCCTCATCTGGTTCCGCACCGGTCGTCGCTCTTCTCCCCCCAGAACGCCCTCTTGACCCCGGCTAGCCGACCCCCTACCTCCAGCGCAGATAAACCCGTAGTGTCTTCCATCTCAGCCACTTCAACCATCGAGTTTAAGAACATGCTCAAAAATGCCTCCCGGAAGCCCTCCGACGACAGCAAGCATTTTAGCCAGGTCCCGAAGGGGGGTTCTGGCGATGGCTCCAGCCTCAGCCAGGCGGGTGTTTCTGCCGGGGAGGAGCAGCAGCAGCAAGAGGAGCATTACCGGATCGAGACCAGGGTCTCTTCCTCGTGTCTAGATTTGCCCGATAGCACCGAAGAGAAAGGGGCCCCTATAGAAACCTTAGGTTACCATAACCCCTCTAACAGGGGGCTGCCCGGGGAACCCATTCAGACCGTCGAGTCCATCAGAGTTCTCGGGAAAGGGAGCAGAGGACACGGTCGTGAAGCCGGCAGGGCAGGCTGGTTCGAGATGAGCGGCACGGGGAGCTCCTTCGATAACGGGCCTTCGAGCGCCACGGAGATGCCCGCCATGGGCGCCGCCGCTGGCGGCGTGTCCAGCTTCCAGACCCCGTACAAAGACCGTGGGCCGCCGTTTCAGGAGAACGTCAACAGCTTCAGAACAAACAGCTTCAGCGCATCCTTCGACCGTCACGGGCCGCCGCCGCTCCGGCCGCCTCCCATGGAGCACGGGACTTCCTTCCCAAGGGACCAAATGGGGCCGCCTCCCACGGGGCCTCAGTCTCTCCCGCCACCAAAGGATCTCAGCAGCCTTTTTCCTAGGGACCACTCGGTCCCCCCTCCGCGCATGCCGTCAGTGGATCACGCCAGCCCTTTCTCGAAGGAGCCGCCGTCCCCGCTGTCCTTGCCTCACGGCGTCCCTCCTCCCCCGCCTCCTTCCTTAGAGCGTGGGGGAGTCCCGTTTCCCAACCAGCCGCCCCCTCCCCTCCCCATGGAGCACCCCAGCGTCCCTTTCTCCACCCCTCCGCCCCCTCCCGGGGACCTCGGCCTCCCGTTTCCTGCTCCCCCCCTCGCCACGGAACACGGGGTCCCGTTTGCTAAGGATCTGGGTGCCGTTCATCAAGGGACAATGAAAGAGCATTTTAACCTCCAGTCCGGAGCACCCCGGGACCAAGGCGCCCCGCCTCAGCGAGACCACAGCGGTCAGTCCCTTGGTCGAGCTCGGGAGAACATAGTGGGCCTGTCCGCCCTGGCAAGAGATCCTCTGAGGCTGACCCTTAATGTCGGATCCTCTCTCCTGTCTCACCGGGACAACACAAACCGAGGGGGGCTGGGTGTTAGGAACCAGCGGCCAGACTTTAGGCCCAGGGAGCCGTTCTTAAATAGAGACCCCTTTAACAGCTTAAAACGGCCTCGGCCCCCGTTTGGCAGGGGCCCTCCATTCTTTGCACCGAAACGCCCCTTCTTCCCTCCCAGGTACTGAATTGAAGGCGTTCCGGAACTTTCTTAGAGGGCAGTGGAAGTAGCGCTTTCACTTTTCATTTCAATCTTTCCTCCCCCTAAAGGGCCCCACAACCTTTTTTTTTGGTTCTGAATTAAGGTATGTTCTGTGCTACAACACACACACACACATATATATATATTCCTATATAAATATATATATCTCGTTCTGTTGGTTTCCGGGGGGGGGGGGGGTTAGTTGTTGGTCTAAAATCTTAGGGGGTGCTGCAAAATAATTTAAGAACTAATCTTTAAAAAAAAAAATTGTTGTTGAAATAATAAAACGAACCTTTTGGTAGCTACAAATAACTAATCAACCATGGGATTTTTTTTTTTAAGCCAGTTTCCCCAGGCTGGAGCGCCTCCCCTGCGCTGCATCACCCGTCCCAAGTCTGCCTTTTTGTCCCCAATCACTCCGGTTCTCCCCTTCAGTGGTTTGTGCTTATTCCCCCCCCCCCACTTTGGGGGACTTTGGGGGTGACTCCACCGCTACAACAAATAGGGGAGGGGGGTGCCCATCTTTGCATGCTAATCCTTTCTCTCTTGCAGCCTTCTCTTAGGTTCTTAAGGTTCTCCTGCGTTTCTCAGTTCGGTGGGAGTAACGTGACGTCAGCCTGTGATCTGCCCAAGGTAGACCAGCGGGCTGATGAGCTAGTCTCAGGTGGAACACTGGGGGGGGGGGGGTCTGTTCCCCCGCCCCCTTGCCTGCAGTCGCTGTGCTTATAGCTGGCTGGGGCTTTTTGCGGGGGGGGGGGCAGTGCTGAGCAAGGTGGTTTTGCCTTTTTTCTCCGTTCCTCTCTTTCCACATTTCCTCCTTGATTCTAGCCAAAGTGCTTCTTTTTGTCCTCCCACAGAGACGGGCCAGTGGGTAACCCAGGGCCCGCATTAGGCCCCGCACCTGCCGATCATAATTCTAAACAGAATCCCTCATGGAGCTTGCTTTTGCCGGCCGCTGTCCGTAGAGGTCTCTTCCCCAGGCGCGCACAGTGATGTCCCCCCCCCCCCCGCTTTCTGAAAAGGAAGCACACATGCGAGGCGTTGGGAGAAGGACCCCTTTGATCCTGAGTCTGACCACCGAGGTGTGCGTTTAGAGGGGGGGTTGCATGCTTGCACTTCTGTCTTGGCTTAATCCATTTGCATCTTCCACGAGGCACCAGCGGTGGAGCTGGGAGGCATCTCTTCACTTGCACGGCTCTGGCACCAGCATGCTTACCCTCTGCTGCTTTTCTTGGTAGTGCAAGCTAAGCGGAAGGCAGGTTAAGAATGCAACGGCACCAAACGGATTCTCTCTCTCTCTCTCTCTCTCTCTCTCTCTCTCTCTCTGTCTGTCTCCCACCCCTCCTACCTTCCATCTCTACCCTTCTCTATACAAGGCTGTAGTCATAGATTACTTTGTTAATAGTTTCTTTTTTAACGCAATCTGTTAGGCAACTGGGAAGTTGCAATCCCGTTCTGCCATTTATGTGTTTGGAAGAGCAATACCCCTTAGATCGTGTGCGCACATGCACATTTCTTTTAATTTTTTAGTACAGAGGATGTACCATTTATATACCAAGAGAATTTCAAACATCCTGGGCTTACAAATGTGTCTTAATTAGCCTTTTCCCAGACTTCCAGAAGATGTGATGTTAGACCTCCGGGGGGGGGGGGGGGGTAGAATGCCATACAAATGCAGGAGGGCACCCGGCCAGTGGGTGTGGCCTGTGGGGCATCGTCCCTCAATTGACGATTGAGTCCTGTACCCGGCAATTGCTGCCCTGGGAGGCTGTAAGGGCCCCGCCTCCCCAAGAGAGAAAGTGCATGTCCTCCACTCTGCAAGAACAGCCAACGGGAGGGCGAGTTTACGATAGCCCCGCCTTTCTCTAAACGACACGACTTTTGCCACCTGCCGGCAATTTTAACACTTCATATTACAAATCTGGGATGGGGAACGTGTTCAGACAGTGCCGTCTGTTGTCACCAAGGGCATGATCCGGCTGCTGGGCCTCCTCCTGCGGGAGTCACTAGAAGGAACAGGTCTGCAGGGGTGGATTTCTCGGGGGCGTTGGCACAGGGCAGCCGAGCGGCCGATCGTGCACTGAGTCAGAATTAGGTTTTTCTCTCGCACCCCCCCTCCCAGTTTTTAAGACCGGCTTCAGAACACAAATGTTTTCGGGTTCTCTACCCTCCCCCCAATCTCTGAATTATTTTTTTTAAAAGCAGACCCTGCCTCTCTCTCTCTCTCTCTGTCTCTTAGTGGGCAGTTTCAGTAACTGGGGGTGGGTGGGGGGAGATGCCTGTGGGCTGGGGGCTCCTGACATTTCGTTGCAGTAGGAAATGGCTTTCTTAGTGATCAGAGGTGTTCCCTTTAGGCATCTCGTAGGGAAAAGGACTGGCGAGAAACCTTCCTTGTAAAAAAAGAAGAGAAAAAAAAGAAAAAGGCGATATCTATTTTAATGGTAAAGCTCCCGATCTCTCTCTCTCTCTCTCTTTTTTTTTTTTAATCCCAGATTTTGTGCTTTTACTTTAAAACGCTGCTAACAGCTGATGGTGATAATGTACATATGTGTAAAAAAAAAAAAGGTTGTTGGACAGGAAGTCTTTTTTTTCTGTCTTGAGTTTTCCCTTCCCTCGGCTTTGCTGTTACTTTTTGTATTTCACCTGATTAAGGGGGGGGAGAAAAATAAAACACGTATTTTTTAAGGAAAGCAACTAGTCTCTCTCGTGAAAGGACAGAATTTCCCAAGAGGGAAGGAAGCTACAGTTTGCTCCTTGGCCGTCCTTGAGAGCAGCCAGGTGTGGTCAGGAGGGGATCCCACAGAGAACGGGGAGGAGCGCGTGGCTAGCCGGACGGATCAAACTACGGCTTCCACGGCGGCTCCCACTAAATGTGCTGGGGGGGAAGGTCAGCTGGTTTGCAGGGGGAGGGAGGCGGCCTCCCTTGGTCCCCCTGGTGACATCCTAGACATGAGGTTTTTCTCCAGCTGAGCCGCATTTGGGTTGGGAGAGACAAAACCAAGGGCTGTCCTGGCTTCCAGCGCGAAGGAAGCGGCTGGGTCAATAATGCAATCGGTTCCAAAGTCAGGGGGCGGATTGCGGCCGTGGGGAAGGGGCTATTTTGAAAACGCTGTAAATAATTGGTGTGCTTCTTTTTTGTGTGTGTGCCTGTTCAAAATCTCTCCATCGGGTCTTTGTTGGCTTGATATTCTTAAGTGTCTCTTGGGGAGGAGAGAAAGCGAGAGATGCTCGGAGGGGAAGACGCCGCAAAAGCCACCGACGGTCTTTGGGCTGTATGAGTACATGAAATAAAATGACTAGTTTGACTGTTTGCATATTCTTCTTGTAAATAAGCCCTCTCCTTAAGTGTGCAGTAGGTGCAAGAACGCAGCCGAAGAGTAGAACCGGATATCTCCTCCCGTGCTCTGCAGTTGTAAGAGCGACTGCTCGGGCGCCGAAGGGCAGGACATCCGGGGGGGGCACCGTCCCAGAGGAAACCAGCCGGATGCGCAGATCGTGATCCCAGCAGCAGAGACACGCCCTGCCCCGCAAAATGTGCTTGGGAAGCTTGACTGTTCCTCTTAACGCCACACAGATCTGTATGTGGGGAAAGGGTGTGTGGAAAGCAGGCGCCTTTGCCCCGAGTAAAACGCAAAGCGGTGGATGTCCGAGAGATCCTCTGACCCCGACTTCCTCTCCTTCTCCCCTTATTTTTGTATTGTATGCTAATAAAGTGTTCTTGACTTGGTGTGGCCTCCTTTTCTAGGAGAAATGGGAGCTCCGGGCCAGTTTGCCTCACCCGTTTCCTTTTTGTCAAGTGGCCTCACAGGAGAGAGAACCTTTCACGGTGCCTCGTGTGAGTGGGCTGTATGTATGCAGTTATGCACAGGGCGTGATGTGTGGAAGTTGCACGTCCTTTCTTCTTCTTTTTTTACTAAAGCAAAATGTAACCATGCACATTTTAAAAATGCCTCTCTGAGAATTCTGAACAAAGTTTTAAGTCTTGTCTGTTGTTCTCCATGGGTTGGATCCTGTGGCTCCGTTCCACCACTGCCACAGCCATTAAGCAGAGCAGTATCCCTGAATGTGGTCTGCATTTGTGTAGTTTGGTTTTATTCATTCCAGATTTTGGGTATCCTCCCCCCCCCCTCCGAAATCTTTTCCCTCCTATACCCATCCGTTGACTTCCCAAGGCCTTTTAAGAGGGTTCATCCTGGACAGACTTAAGTGCCCCACGCCTCGTCAGTTACGGATGGGAAGGTTCATATGTTCGCCGTATTCAGAATGAACTTGCCTCTGTTCTTTTGGGGAGAGCCAGTTTGGTGTGGTGCGGACTCTAATCTGGGAGAACCGGGTTTGATTCCCCACTCTGCCACATGCAGCTGCTGGTGTGACCTTGGGTCAGTCGTACGTTCTCTCAGAGCTGTTCTCTCAGGGGCAGTTCTCTTTCAAGAGCTCTCTCAGCCCCACCGACCTCACAGGGTGTCTTTTGTGGGGAGGGGAAGGGAGAGGAGTTTGTAAGCCGCTCTGAGACTCCAAGTGAAAGGTGGAGTATAAATCCAATCTCCTCAATTTGGTGTCGTGGTTAAGTGTGTGGACTTTAATCTGGAAGAACCGGGTTTGATTCCCCCACTCCTCCACTTGCACCTGTTGGATGACCTTGGGCAAGACGTAGTTCTGACAAGAGCTGTTCTTGAAAAAGAGCCGTTTCTGTCAAGAGCTCTCTCAGCCCCGCCTACCTCACAGGGTGTCTGTCGTGGGGAGGGGAAGGGAGAGGAGTTTGTAAGCCGCTCTGAGACTCCCTTGGGTAGTGAAGGGCCATGGGGTATGAATCCAGTCTCTCTTCTGGTGCCATGTTCCTGCAGCTGCAGAGCTTCTGACTGTTGGATGGGGGCTAATGAGAAGCATGGGTGGGGGAAGAGGTTCGCTAAGGACTTGAATGGAAATGTGTCCGTCCCCCCACCCCCACCCCCCAAATGTTTTACTGGTTATACGGGGAGTGGGCCTACAGTATATCTTTCAAAAAAACAAAGATACCCTACTGTTTTATAAAACGGTGTTTCCCAACCTGTGGGCCGCAGACCAGCACTCCTTAAGGTCCGCCGCTTCCATTCCATTGCGCTCTCCTGTATTTTGGAAACCAAGAT